CGAAACCCCAGAGGCCTGGGTCCTGGAAGACAACGGAATCAAAACACATGGCCAGCTTGGCGTCCGCCGGCCAGGTGTGGCAGGTAATTTCGTGCATCCACACAGCCAAGGAAAGTGCCTGGATCCATTCTCACCTCACCCGCTCCAGGACTGGCAGGCCCACAGAAACCTGCAAACCTTAGCCTGGCACTGCAAGTGTCCACCGTGTTCAGGGCCCTCGTGGGTCACCTGTTCAGGGGCCACCAGTGTCGCTCGGGAGCACCCTTGAGCGTCACTTCATTAACTCAGGAGCTGCTCTATGAAGTGAGGCTGAGCAGTCCCCAAGGAAGGGCGGAGCGGAGGAGGAAGTGAGCTAGGGCTCCGCCTGGCGGCTGCTGTGTTTACTACAGTTATTGAGGAGCCTGGGGCTCCAAGAGCTGAAAGGGCTGCACAGGAATCTGGCTCCAGCTGGGTGGGCCCTGGGCTGTCGTTTCCCACTGGTTCCAGATGGGGTTCTTAACGCAATCGAGTGTCTGCCTTTTGAATTAAGGGAATGGAGGGGAAGCAAGCATGTATTAGATTCCATTTCCAACCTCATTACCCTCAACTCGGCAAAACGCCCGCTCAGACTGAACCCCAGACCTACCCTAACCCCGTGCGTTTCTGCTCACCCATCGTCTCCTCCCTGTCTCTGCCCCATGGCAGACTCTCAGCTCCCTCCCCAGACCTCTCTGGCAGCTCCACTGCAGACTCAGGCCTCGACCAGGTGTGGGAGCCACTGCCCGGGCACTGTCCTGGGAGCTGGACAAATACTTGCTAAAGTGAGTTGGCAGGGGCTGGCACTGTGGCACTGTGGGTTAAGTCTTCATTTCATAGCAGAGTCCTGAGGTCCTGCCACCCACATCGGAAGCCCAGATAGGGGGCCTGGCCCAGCCCTAACTGTTCATCTGGGGAATGAACCAATGGGTGGAAGCCCTCTCCCTCTTCCCCTCCCCCTCCTTCCACCTTCCTCCTCCCCCTCCCCCCTCCCTCCCTCTCTTTTCCATCCCTCTGCCTTTCAAATAAACAAATCTTGTTTAAGGAGTGATTTAAGCTGATTGTAGCCAGTAGCCAACATTCCCAGGTGTCCAAGGTGCTAGCCCAGGTAACCTACACTTATCCAGGTCTTATTTTGGGCACTTGAAGTATAAATTATTCACATACCAGCCCCGATGCAAAGGTGTCACTACCTGAGACATTCGGGTCAGCCCTGGGACATGGCGGTGAAGGGAAGCTGGAGGTGACCACAGGTAAGAAGGCAGGGAGTGGGGGTGGGGGGATTGTGTGTTGGCCTGCCTAGACACATGCATGTGCTCAGCTGTAGAGGTTAGCTGAGATGAGATGTGAACCACCTGCCTCAGTCCCACTTGAATGCATTGATTCATTGAGTCACTTATTCAGCCTTCACGTTGAGCACCTACTATGTGCCAGACCCAGAGCTAAAAACAACCAGACTTGATTGCATTGTCCCCTAATGGCTTTCCCAGTCTGGCAGGAAGCACAGGGCTATGAAGAAACCATTGCCAAGTCCATGCAACGAGACAAGGCATGCGGGCTTAGGGCTCCCCTGAGCAGAGCCGGGGTTGGGGAAGCCTCAGTGAAAGCCACTGTGTGTTTGGAAAGATGCGGGGCTGAGGGGCAGGGCTGGCTAAGGAGTGGCCCTCCTGTGACAGGCACTCCCTGTGTCCACGGGTGCTGTGGGCACCATGTCAGGGCGGGTGAGGTCTTTCCCACTGTGAGTGTGAGGGGAGAGGAGTGTGTGTGGCTGGGGCTGGCAGGGACTGGGCGACAGACTGAGTGGTGGGAGAGGCTGGACCTGGAAGACTCTGGGTTTGGCCTGTTGGAAGGCAGGTGCAGCTCCCAGAGCTGGGGAAGCAGAGAGGGATGGAGCCTTGGTGTTTGCCTATGAAAGCAGACTCTGTGTGGGACACCAGTACCTGTGTCTTGTAGCTGGCGCGTGGGGAAAGGGTGAGGGGGCTGGTGGAAGAGGGTAATCTCCCAGGCTTCAGGACCCCTGGCTCCCCCAGGTCACCCAAGTGTCCCTTGCTTGGTTAAAGATCCGTCTGTCGGTGGGAGACCAGGAGAAGCACACCTGGCTCCTGGCTTCGGATCAGCATGCCGGCCGCGGCAGCCATTGGAGGGTGAACCAACGGCAGAAAAGGAAGACCTTTGTCTCTGTCTCTCTCACTATCCACTCTGTCAAAAAAAAAAAAAAAAAAAAAAAAAAACACCTCAGTCTGTCAGCCATGCAGATCAGCAGCACTTCCTCCTGTCTGTGGGCTGCGCCATTTTTGGCCCTTAATGGGGATTAGTAGGTCCTTAATGGGATGGTTGACCCATGAGATGGGGGCAGGTGAGGGAGAAGCAGGTGCCGAGGCTGGCCAAGGCTTCCATGACCTGCCCTGGAAAGTACTGGAAAAAGATGGAGTGCTACACCTGGGGCTGGGCCCCCGCTGGCCTGCAGTTGGCCGCCTCCTGCCTGTGTCCTCCCGTGGTCTGTGGATATACCTGTGTCCTGATCTCCTGATCTCTTCTTAAAAGGACCCTGGTGGTGTTGGGTCAGGGACCCCCCAGCAGGCTCATTGCCACTGAATTTCTTGTGTAAGGATCCTCTGTCGGTCAGCCCCATTTGGAGGGACTGCAGTTAGGGCTTGACACAGGGACTTGGGAGTCTGGGGCTCCTGGAGATTCCAGGGCTGAGGGGAGGGGAGGAGAGGGCCCGCGGAAGCTGAGGGGCGCTGGTGGGGGCCGGGCAAGCTGGGAGAGCAGGAGCCTGGAGAGGTGGTGGCTGCTCAGCTGGCACTGAAAGGCCCTGAGCACTGAACCGCTGACCCCTAGACCCAGAGCGCCAGCCCAGGGCTCCTCAACCCCCACCAGCGCCAGAGGCGCCGTCTCCTGCTTCTGCCCGGTGTGGAATCTGCCTCTGGCTGCTCCCACCTGGTGGGAGGCCCGTGAGACCTGCACAGGCTGTGTTGCATCACTGCGCACGGCCTGGGGCTCTCGGGTGCCAGGCAGGAGGCCCGACCCTTCCCAGGGACCTGCATCTCTCATTAACGAGGGCAAAGCGTTTCCCGGGATGCAGCCGAGCCCACGCTGTGGGGTTCGTTATCCAGCGCCACCCAGGGAAAGGACCGGACACGTGGCCAAGCTCATGCCTGCAGCCCGCTCACAACACAGACGGCTTCTGTTTACTCCATTGCTCTGGGCACCAGCCCAGCACCCCCGGAACCCTCCGTGGAAACTGCCGGCAGCAGGAAGGGTGAGCATCGGGCAGACATTTCTCAGATGGCTCCTAGTCGGTGGGGACAGCGTGGTGTAGGTGTGGAAGCCAGAGGGTCGTGAGCGTGGTGCAGATCATACTCCGTGGTCCAGAGAGGGTCCCACGGCCCTGCACGGCCACTCCCCGGCAGTCCCCCTTAGCCGCTGCTCAAGGCACAAAGGTGCACTCTGGCCTCCCTCCCACGCTGACCCACAATAGGGCTCCCTGGTGCTCGGATCCCAGGCGGGGCTGTCCCAGCCAGATGGGTGACTGCTCCCAGCCTCCAAGCTGCCTGCTGCTGTCCCCATCACTTTTGGGAAGCCCCAGGCAGGAAGTTGTAGCACATGTTGGGCAGGGAGAGGCTGGCCCCCCATTAGCCGGGGGACCTGCTTCCTCCTCACCCTCCTTGGGATTTGGCTTTTAATTGCAGTCCCGAGGCACAGGGCCTCCCAGGCTGAGCCACGAAGACTCAGCTTTTTAATTTGATTCTTGTGCTCCCGAAGGAAAGCCTGCGGGCCCGGCATGGATGGGGCAGGGGGCAGGGGGCAGGGCCTGGGCCTGGATGCTTGACCCCAGCACAGCTCTACCACCAACAGGGGCTAGTCCAGTAGGCCTCAGTTTCCCCATCTGTGAAATGAGGTCTCAGACCAAAGCTTCCTCCCAGCGCCTTCCCTGCTCCCCACTCCCCGCGTGGGCAGCTCTGCAGCTTCCCTGACCTCTCTCTGTTTCTCAGCTTTCATCTGTCACTGGAATGATAAAAATACCCTCCTTGCCGCCTGTCCCTGATCCCCGCACTGGCCATGCCGGGGGAGGGGTGCCTCTCCGCCCCCCCCCCCCAGTTCCTCTCTGTCCCATCCACCTCCTCCCCTCCCCCAAGCCCTAGCCGCTAGGCACGCCCCTGTCCCTGGTGTCTCCCCACTCCTGCTGTTCCCACCTGCCCCAGGACCCCACCAGGTTCGTGGGTGTGGCCCCCTGGACTTGCCCTGGCTTCTCAGACTGCACCTGTCCAATCTTCTCCCCCTCCCTGAGTGTCCTCCCCCGCCCCCGCCTCCAGGACAGTGCCAGCCTGGTCAGTGTCCTGGGTCAGGAAGTCCAGCTTCTGGCCCAGTAATCGGTTCAGAGAGGGAACAGACGGCTACACTTGTTCTTCAGTGGGCTAAGGCTAGTCCAAAGAGAGTTCAAGAGAAGGCCAGGATGGATCAGCTGAGTGGAGGGAGAGCCAGAGACTGTGTGCAGTGCTTGTAGAATCAGCGAGCCTCGCTCTCCACTAAGTGTATGCAAGTCAGGGTTGTTCCTGTTAGGGAAGGAAATCCAATTCCTGGCCGTTACCGCTCACGGAGGGGAGGGCAGTTGCTGGAGCCAGTCTCCTAGCCGGGGGCCAGTGCTGTGGTGTAGCGGGTAAAGCCACCACCTGCACTGCGGGCATCCCACATAGGAGCCAGTTTGAGTCCTGGGTGCTCCACTTCCGATCCAGATCTCTGCTGCTGCCTGGGAAAGCAGAAGATGGCCCAAGTCCTTGGGCCTCTGCACCCATGTGGGAGACTTAGAAAAAAGCTCCTGGCTCCTGGCTTTGGATTGGAGTAGCTCCGGCCATTGCAGCTAACTGGGAAGTGAACCAGCGGATAGAAGACCTCTCTCTCTCTGCCTCTCCTTCTCTCTGTGTAACTTTTTCAAGTAAATAAATAAATCTTAAAAACAACAACAACAACAACAACAACAGGGAAACAATTGGCAGGCAACAGAGAAAGCGTCTGGTGCAAGAAGAGAGCAGCAGAGTGCCCGAGCGGGACACTGGCTTCAGGAAGTGTCCTGGGTTTCTAAGGCATTGGTGTCTGTTCACTGGTCATCCTACTGGGGCTGCCCATTGGATAGGGGGTCTCACATACGTATGTTGACTGGCTTGGGGCTCAAGGAAACAGCGAGGGTCTCCAGGAGACTGTCTGTCTCTTAAGGGCTCAGCCCCCTCCTCTGCTAGCTCTGGGTGGAAGATTGCAACTAACTTGAAGACACGATTTAAAACCACAAGGTCACACGAGATAGCCAGGGTCTCTTGGAGCCAGTCCAACTCTCCCCTCTCAGCCCCTCCCCTGCCAGCTGAGGGTGAAAGGCTGCAGCCGCCCCGAAGGTGTGATTTCAGGCTGCAAGGTCACACGTGCAGCACAAGAGGCTGTTAGTGGGGGAGATGCCAGTCGGCCTGGAGACAGCTTTCCAGCCACAGCTGACAGCTTGCATGTGTAGGACGTTCTGCCTACGTCTGCAGGGGCCCACAGACCCCAGCCCCGCTGGGCAGCCTCATGGAAGACATTGAATGTATGGCTAAAAAGGGAGATCCAACTGTGAAAATCGACTCCCTGTGCCCCAAATCTAAAGTGCTGACCCACATCCTTGTGTCAACGATTGTTCTGATAATCAGCTTTTTAAATTGTTGATGTAAGCAGTTGAAATAACGTCCAATCACTATGCAATAAGAACGTCAACAACAAAAAGATGTGTCCCACAGGCATCACGGCTACTAGAATCCGAGTGCATTTGAGTCCTAGCTGCTTGTATTGCTGAACCAAGACCTTGACGATGTCTTGGCCCAGTCAAGCTCCTTGCTTCATTCTCTGTCAGCTAGCCCCAATCACTGTAGAACTTTCCGTTCCCTTCCCAGTTTGTAGGGCTTTAGATACAATAGAGAAATACAAAGTTAACAGAATAATTTGGTTTTTGTGTTGCAAAGCCCATGTAAGAGAAGGCACAGCCCACACTTGATCTGAGGAATTAGCCCCAGGGTGGTTGCTGGAGGCCAGCCCACACTCAGTGATGGGTCAGGAAACCAGGACACCTGGTACTTCTGCCCTGAGGTTCCACTACCAACACATCTAAGTGTAGGGTATGCTGCAGCCAAGGAGGAAGAACAGAGAAGACGGGATGAGAGCTACTCCACGGCCAGGGTCTCAGTCCTGGGAGCTGACTCGACCAGCTGATTGTCAGAGGAAGCAAATGCTGGACCTCATGGAGAGCACAGCGTTTGCCCCTTAGCAGTCAGTATGCTCCATCTGACCTGGTGCCCTGGAACACTTCAGACACACACCCAGAAGCCAAGTCCCCTGGGGCCACACAGGCACCTATGGCTCCAGCCTACTGGGCACAGGTGCCCCGTCCGAGGCACAGCTGCACTGCTTCACCCTCATGTTGGGCAGGCTGACCACCCGGGGCCTGGTCCTGCCTCCCTCCTGGATGCTGACGATCATGGGCAATGCGGCAGTCTCCGAGGCGATGCACCGCCGTGGCCCCAGAAACGGCCACTTGAAAGACAGGGGCTCTGGCAGCTGCCTGCAGCTGCCCACACACTCGTGGGCCACGAAGCCTGGGGGCTCCAGGATCCGGTTCTCGGCCCACTTCATCCCCTGCAGGTCCACGAACATCTCCTGGCGGCAGCAGCGGGTGCCCTCGGTCAGTGGCACCTCAGGGTCACAATTGCCCTGAGCTCTGTGGGGACAAAGAGAGGCAGGGTCAGAGGCCAGCTGAGGGCAGGAGACCCAGAAGGTTCCAGCTTAGCGTATGCTGGATGTAAGGGCAGGTGTTACGGAGCAGCAGGTGAAGTGGCCATTTGCGGAGCTGGCCTCCCACGTCAGGGTGCCGTTCAAGTCCTGGCTCTGCTGCTTTCAGTCTAGGTCCTGCTGATGCACCTGGAAAGCAGGTACTCGGGTCCCTTCCATCCCTGTGGGAAACCAGGGTGGAGTTCCTGCTGCTGGCTTCAGCCTGGCCGGGTTCTAGCTGTTTGGGAGTGAAACTGAATATAGAAGATCTCTCTCCCACCCACCCACCCCCTTTTTTTTTTCTTTTTGTCATTCTGTCTATCAAATAAATACATAAAATAAATGTTTTTAAAGAAGGTAGATATTTGTGATGAAGACCTACAAATAACTTACAAACAAGAAAGTGCCATTTACTGGGGCCTCCCAAGAGGGGAAGAACTGTGCACCTGTTGTCTCATTCCTCCCCCATAAAACTGAGCTGCCCACTTCAAAATAAGTTTAATGCCCTATATGTCTTTGTATTTGAGATCCACAGATTGGCTTATTGCACCTACCCATAATCCTTGAGGTCCAGGGTATGCAGCTCCAGCTGCGGCTCCCCCTGCGGACAAAACACACCAGCCTGTGTGCGCTGGATGCCCCGGGGCCCAGGTGCTCCCTGTGCACAGACACCAGCAGCAGCAGCGGCTGCTGCCAGAAGGTCACGGCCTCGGTCACGTCGAAGGTCTTCCAGCCGCTCTCGTGGAGGGACACCAGCCTGAGACAGAGCCCAGTCTGAGCGGTCGGGGCTGGGCCGCGCAGTCCCGAAGGCCCAGGGCGGCCCCTATGGCGCTGCACGCCCACGCTCCCTACCCCCCCCCCCAGCCCGGCGCACCCTTCTGCCCGCCCGCTGCCCCCGAGCCCGGCGCACCTCCCTACCCCTGGATCCTGCCGGCGCCCCGCGGCCCCGCGGTGGGGAGTGGAAGACCTATCTCTCTCTCTCTCTGCATTTGACTCTTTATAATGCTGCCTTTCAAATAAATAAATAATTTAAAATAAAAAAGAATGACAAGAAAACCTACCACAGACATCCAGAAAACACTGCTAGGTAGAATTTTCTAGTGCGGAGAGTAAGTCTACCCATATGAACCTATTAGAAATAGAAGCAGCTACCTCTGCCTGATTATGCTTTCCTTACAGGGATATGGACTCCTTTATAATGCAATGGGAGTAGGAAGCAAAGGGGAATGGGAGGCTTTAACATGCTATAGTTGGAAGAGGGCTGGCCTGCAAAGTTACTCAACTGCAGCCTTGGTTTTCTGATTGGAGTGCATGACAGAGCTAATCTTTGGGAAGCCACCTTGTCACCTGCCTCCCATTCACGCTCAATGTAACTGCCAATCCAGATTAATCCTATGCTCATGGAATTTGATAAAAGGTAAAAGTATTAATTGGTGAAAAAGAAAATATTTAAAATACATTACATTCTAATTATTTTGACATTTATTCATTTAAGGAAAATAAATA